CACCCTGGCAGATCCAACTTTCCAACAAGATAATGCCCAACCACATGTTGCAAGAGTCACAATAGACTTCTTTCAACATAATGATGTCACATTGTTACCATGGCCACCAAGATCTCCCAATTGAGCACGTGTGGGATATGATGGGTAGGAGATTGCTCAATTTGCAACGTCCTCCTCAGACTCTAGAAGCACTTCGAGAGTAGTTGGTGGTTGCCTGGAATGAGATACCACAGGAGGACATTGACCACCTGATCAGAAGCATGCCTAGGCGCGTTGGAGAATGCGTAGCACATCAGGGTTTAGCCACATACTATTAAAGGTCAAAGGGCTTTAAAGCAGTGCAATCATTTTGAATTTTTTTCATTTACTTATTATGCTTCATTAAGTACTTATACAAAACTATATTAAAATAAAACCATTTAAACTGGGTGCTCGGATTTATATGTCACTTATTATATCTGAGTGTGTGGCTTGACAAAGATCTGAAAATGATTGTACATATCAGACGTACCACTGACAAGGTAAATAAGGTCGTTGCATCTCCGATGCAGCTAATGCCATCTGACGGAATCCTCAGCAGTGAGAAGCGCAGAAATAGAGAACAGATGACTAATATGTTTGGTATAAAAACCTAGCGCAACGCTACCCACTATGAAGAAATGTAGCAATCATTACCGTGGTGAGTTGTGTGGTGATGGTTTTAGTGTGTATGCGATTTCTGGAAAATCTCACACTTCTGGCAGGAAGGACAATGCTGTCGAATTCTTCTGCCTGAGAGTGGCTATAAAAACTTTCCTCTGTCAAAAAAAACCTCAAGCATCGATAAAGATTGATAGTGAAAGCAATAGTTTCCCAAGAACAAAATTCGAACCTAAAGGTTCGCACAGTTCGCGGCGGCAGGCGCGAGCCTTGAGCACCCCATCACTCACGAGGGGTACGAAAAGCAGTGAGAGAATTTGTTGAAGTTGACATTTGATCACGGCTTAACGTCTCATTTCAGCACACCAGATTTGCCTTAGGAATTTGGTGACATTTTTAAGCAAGCGCGAATAACTACCACAAACACAGCATGTTAATCCTCTTTGTCGCATCGTTTGTATGCAAACAACACCTAACTCCTTTCGACTCGATGAGGCTATACCGTTAGAGCGGAATGAAGCACCTACCTACCGAAATTCCCTCAACTGAGGACAGGAGCGAAGGAGCATCGCTGAAAGGGAACGACGTGTATATTACTTCCTGTACAAATTGCACCCTTTATCGTTGCAGTCATTTGGTGATCCTGCTGGTGTTTTCACCCCTTATTTACTTCGTTAAGAGGGGTATAATCACTTTTTTGTGTGTTCATCGTCGGCAAGTTGATTCTCAATTATAATGCTTTGATACTGTGTATCTTGGAATTACGCTTTAGAGATTACACTAAGACTTATGCCGAATCCAGCACTTACCCATAAGACCCTGACTGAATATAAGGATAAGGATTGATAAATTCTTTTATAGATCCTCTGTAGGTGAGTAAGAGAGATAGAGCTAGCGCGAGATCTGCGCATGCGTGCAGTTTCGGACTTACTCTTCGTTGGTTCGGGCACTCGGCACAGCACAACATAGGCGGATACTTTTTCAAGGTAGTGCATTCTCGACAAGATGCAAGGTTGAACAGTGGATCATGCAGTTATTTATCTAGACTGTCTGCTGGACAAACTTATGTAGCACTTGGTCGTGTACGATTTTTAGACGATGTTCGGATTGACGAGCTTGATTGCCCCATGCAACAGTGCAGCTTTAAATGAAATGTTTAGATTACAAAATGATGCGTAAGACATTTCAATACCACATGTCCACAAAAAACTAATTGATAAATCGAAATTAATATCGTTATCTGATATTGCTATATATTGGTTTTTGTAATCATCTATTAATCATATTCATAGTTTCTTTTCTCTCTACCTAAAGCGTCGTTTTCTTTATTGTATTTTTTTCCACTTATGACACACACACACTGTGTAAATTAAATCAGCGTTTTATGTATTGGCCTCTAAATGGTATCTGTACTGCTGGCCAATAAATTCTTCATTATTATTGTTATTGTTCATTATGAAGACCAAAAATTTATTTATGTCCAGCCCATCCCCAAAAAAGACCGTTCTCTTCTATTTTCTGTTATAAGTAGGGTGATGAAGAGGTGCAAGAATGCGGCGCTTCTGGAGTGCCTTGAACTTCATTGCCTTACTAGTGACAGTATGTTTTCCTTTATGTTGCTCTTGACATCACTAAAACGTTCGATCAGCTGTGGCATGCTTTCTTCTAGGGCAAACTTCTATCTAGTGGCCCCCCAGAGAGGCTTTGCGGTTGGGTGGCTAAATTCCTCTCTGGTCTCAACATACCCTTTGCCTTGGCCCAAAATATCAACGTATGTGTCCCTCATGGCTCCAACATTGTTCCTCTAACATTTCAACGATCTCTTTTCCTGTACGAGCAATCCAATCCACAGATTTTGTGATCACACCATTCTACTATGCGGTGCCTTGGTATTTAGGCTTCTGCGTGTGTGGGATAATATTGAAATATTTGTTCCAAAAGTGGTTGTTACAGGTGTTTCCCTGCTACCCAGTATATCAAGAAATCACAGCAGACTAATCGGACGATATATAATGATTGCATAAGTAATACTTTATAAAAATGTTTCTAAAGTGCCTTCAAATCATCAAAAAGTTTAAAGACATCCAGAAAACGTTGTTTTGGATTTATTTAAAATCATTCAATGAGTACGTCAAAACTTATCACGTACTCATTCTGAAATTTTTCGCTTACTTATAGCATATAAAAATTTGTTTGTCGTTTAGCATGGCAGATATCTGATTTCTACTAAAATAGGAGCAACAACTTGCGGACGAATGACGGCTGAGAGACAGATGGACCGCTGTTACAAAAGTAACACCCTTTCATGATCTGTTTTTAAAACGGGTCAAGTTAGTAAAATGCAATTCGGGTTGAAGAAATTGACAAATGAATGCTATTTCTTAACGTGAAAATAACAGCTGAACATACCTGATATATACATATGTATATATACGAGGCACGTCCAGAAAGTAAGTGTACTGGTTTTCTCACAGCTGTAGAGAATACTTTTTCGACATGTTAGCAACACTGCCGCGTAGCCTGACCCCTCCTCTTCAAAAAGAGACCAATCTGAGGTTAGTGTGTTGAAAACTCTTGACGCTGTAACATCTCTCGCGAAAAATGTCGATCGTATCTCCCGCCAAGTGCGAAATTTGCGCCGTCATTCGCTACCTCGTTGTGAAGGGAAAAGCTCCGGTGAGACGCTAAAAAAATTGAAAAGGGCGATTCAGAATAAAAGGAGGGGCATGCTGACGAAGGGCGTCTGCCTGTTGCACGACAATGCCAGACCCCACAAGGCCAACGCCACGAAGCAACTCCTGGACTCTTTTGGATGGGACGTTCTGAATCACCCCCCGTATTCCCCTGACCTGGCTCCTTCAGATTTCCATCTCTTCACTTCCCTAAAGGGGCACATGGGTGGAAACAAGTTTTCAACGGGCGAGGAGGTGAAGGGGGAGGTGGAGAAGTGGGCGAAAGAGCTGGCGGGAGACTTCTTCGAGGCCGGCATCAAAAAATTGATCCCGCGGCTCACCACTTGCATCGAGAGGGATGGTGACTATGTCGAAAAATAACTTACATATGTACAAGTGTAACCAAGTATATTATGGTTTTAATAAATTTTTTTTGAACCCTACATAAATTGGGTACACTTACTTTCTGGACGTGCCTCGTAACTTGAGACGTGGTCATTGTCGTCTAGACCAGTTAGGTGAAAAATTAAAGCTTCCGACTTTTGTTTGGTACTTCGACAAAATTTAAGCAAAGAGGACTCTTTATACTTTTTTAATTCTCTCCAGCTTTCAATGGACTTTGCCATCATCATCAAGAGCTGCAATTACAATGATAACAGTAGCAACAAAAGTGTAAAATGAATTTAAATTGACTCAACTTACAGTAGTATGTGAGGATGCTGCTAATTGTTGTTTACGTATAGGATGAGGGAAACGTCCAGTAACATGGTGAGAGCGGGATACATGGTACAATGGTCAAAATTATATAAAATATGACAAGAACAAGTTAAAAACAGATTAAAAATTATTTAAAAACATTAGAGCATTACATTGTGAAGCCACTTGATGATTGCACAAAATGGTGGTCATGGAATAATGACTGAGATGAACCCTTTGACAGAAGGCCGAAGGTTGTCAATGTCTGTGTTGAAAGATGGAACGAATTGTGGGCGTGTGCCGGTTTAACAATTTCTTACATAACATTCTGAAAATCACATCATCTGAAGTGATTTGGCAACGTTTTGGCACACGCCCACAATTCGTTCCATCTTTCAACACAGACATTGACAACCTTCGGCCTTCTGTCAAAGGTTCATCTCACTCATTATTCCATAACCACCATTTTGTGCAATCATCAAGTGGCTTCACGACGTAATGCTCAAATGTTTTCTAAATAATTTTTAATCTGTCTTGTCATATTTTATATAATTTTAACCATTGTACCATGTATCCAGCTCTCACCATGTTACTGGACGTTTCTCTCATCCTATACGAAAACAATAATTAGCAACATCCTCACATACTACTGTAAGTTGATTCAATTTAAATTCATTTTACACTTTTGTTGCTACTGTTATCATTGTAATTGCAGCTCCTGATGATGATGGCAAAGTCCATTGAAAGCTAGAGAGAATTAAAAAAAGTATAAAGAGTCCTCTTTGCTTAAATTTTGTCGAAGTACCCAACAAAAGGCGGAAGCTTTAATTTTTCACCTATATATATATATATATATATGATATATAATATAAATACGCCATTTTTTTCGAATAACAATGCCAAATCAAAAAATATTCCTGATTTGAATTACCTTCTGCTTGTTGACACGAAAACTTGCCTTTTTTCCTAATATTTGTAATATTTGTGACTCACCCCGAGCTGGAGCAAGATATCAGAGTGATAGATAAGGAAACTGAGCCGTGACATCCCAGACATTTTTAAAATAGGCCTACGTCTTTTTACTACCTCAGCGTTTTTCAGCCTTCTCTATGATCCCTCGAGGGATCCACAACGGTCATTATGGACCCTCTAAACGAGGAAAAATGGACCGAATGCTAAAAAACGGCGCTTCATATACCGACACGCCTTAGAGCAGCAAAATTGAGAGAACCCACGAGAACTTGATTCTCGAAGTCTTCGATATACTAGTCACTTTAAAGAACAATAACAAATCGTCAATTAAATGTTTCATTATCGCAATAAGTTCCACTTCCCATGCCATGAACTAGAGGCATAGTGTGATCCTATCAGGTTCTTTGGAAGCTTTCTGCTTCCTACACAATGAAAATCCATAGCGCTCATTTTTACGGATCTGTCGGTTTGTTATCAGTAGTCTTACTTGTACCCGCGTTGTTTCAGTAACTATTGCATCAAAATATAGTCGAAATTTACACATTGTATAACATCCTTTTTAAAGCTTTTTTACAGTGAAGTAGTGAAAAAATCACAACAAGTGTACAACACCTAGTTGACATCTTGTAGAAAAACCTACACAATGTTACGAAAAACTCATATAATCTCAAAAAAAAAACACTTTATGTCACTTTTGAAGATACGTAATACCCCTGCGGAAATGCTGCAATACCTAGCAACAACGCAACCTCAAATCGGCAAGGAGGCCTCAGCTAAAGCAGCGACTATGCATATGGCCCTAAACTGCGCTCATGGTAAGCGTGCACAGAACCAACGAAATTAGTTTTTGTTCGGGATTTGTTAATTGGCCCAACAGTAGGATTTATGTCCCGACCGCGTGACAATATGGAAAGCCAACAGACGAATATATTAGGTTGTTCCGGATGTTATGTATGTGAACCGATGCATGTGGGTCTATTCTGTGCATGAATACAACTATTCCGCCCGAGGACTGTTACATTTGCGCTACGGCGGCTTAATAGTTTTTACGTTTTTTATTACATACGCAATGTGCCACAGTGGAAACATGTTGTCACGCGGCCATTAGCAAATAAAACAGTTTTACACGTCAACAGAAAGCCCAATCACCAATAATTTTAGGATTTAACTTTTTCTAGACTAAACCCGCGGTTCTGGCGTAGTGTAAAGTACAGATCGTTCACTCCGGTATGAAGGAGATTGCTTTCTGAGAAATGCAATATTATTTATATATATATATATATATTTATTTATTCGTATATTCGTTTATTCGTTTATTAGTTTATTCGTTTATTAGTTTACTAGTTATTCGTTTATTCGTTTATTAGTTTATTCGTTTATTCGTTTATTAGTTTATTAGTTTATTAGTTTATTCGTTTATTCGTTTATTCGTTTATTCGTTTATTCGTTTATTCGTTTATTCGTTTATTCGTTTATTCGTTTATTCGTTTATTCGTTTATTCGTTTATTCGTTTATTCGTTTATTCGTTTATTCGTTTATTCGTTTATTCGTTTATTCGTTTATTCGTTTATTCGTTTATTCGTTTATTCGTTTATTAGTTTATTAGTTTATTAGTTTATTCGTTTATTCGTTTATTCGCTTATTCGTTTATTCGTTTATTCGTTTATTCGTTTATTCGTTTATTCGTTTATTCGTTTATTCGTTTATTCGTTTATTCGTTTATTCGTTTATTCGTTTATTCGTTTATTCGTTTATTCGTTTATTCGTTTATTCGTTTATTCGTTTATTCGTTTATTCGTTTATTCGTTTATTCGTTTATTCGTTTATTCGTTTATTCGTTTATTCGTTTATTCGTTTATTCGTTTATTCGTTTATTCGTTTATTCGTTTATTCGTTTATTCGTTTATTCGTTTATTCGTTTATTCGTTTATTCGTTTATTCGTTTATTCGTTTATTCGTTTATTCGTTTATTCGTTTATTCGTTTATTCGTTTATTCGTTTATTCGTTTATTCGTTTATTCGTTTATTCGTTTATTCGTTTATTCGTTTATTCGTTTATTCGTTTATTCGTTTATTCGTTTATTCGTTTATTCGTTTATTCGTTTATTCGTTTATTCGTTTATTCGTTTATTCGTTTATTCGTTTATTCGTTTATTCGTTTATTCGTTTATTCGTTTATTCGTTTATTCGTTTATTCGTTTATTCGTTTATTCGTTTATTCGTTTATTCGTTTATTCGTTTATTCGTTTATTCGTTTATTCGTTTATTCGTTTATTCGTTTATTCGTTTATTCGTTTATTCGTTTATTCGTTTATTCGTTTATTCGTTTATTCGTTTATTCGTTTATTCGTTTATTCGTTTATTCGTTTATTCGTTTATTCGTTTATTCGTTTATTCGTTTATTCGTTTATTCGTTTATTCGTTTATTCGTTTATTCGTTTATTCGTTTATTCGTTTATTCGTTTATTCGTTTATTCGTTTATTCGTTTATTCGTTTATTCGTTATTCGTTTATTCGTTTATTCGTTTATTCGTTTATTCGTTTTTCCGTTTATTCGTTTATTCGTTTATTCGTTTATTCGTTTTTCCGTTTATCCGTTTATCCGTGTATCCTTTTATTTATTTATTTATTTGTTTGGTCGTTTGTTCGTTCGTTCGTTATTTATTTATTTATTCGTTTCTTTACTTATTTATTTGTTTATACGCTACTCAACAGCCATTTACAAATTAGAACACAGTCCAAACTACAAAAAGAGACAATTATTTCATAATACAGGCAAGAGTAGGTAGTTCAAACACAAAGGTGCTATATTTAAAAATATTTACGGGTATCATAGTACAGATAAGAAGGCAAAAAATAGACAAAGCCTCACATAAATATATCCAATTCAAGAGTAAAATAGAGAATGAGATGTTTGTTCTAGGGGTAGGCAAATAAGAAGTACCAAATTGTATAGAATTTCAGCTTGGAACAAGAAAATTAAATGTATGCAGTATATTTCAGGAATCGATAGAATTGTCTTCTAAAATTTTTTGCGGGTAGCCAGCAACTGAGGGGTACCTGGTATTTTCGTTGAAATGTAGGTACTTTAGTGATCGCCGCTGCATACTTTCAAGTTTATCTATCCAGAGGTTATAGAAAGGCAGCCAAACAATTGATGCACGTTCGAGCTTTGAACGAATAAGTCAACAATATAAAAGCTTAATTCTTTTATCTTGCAACTCATGACCACAGCATATAATAAAGCCCAATCTTTTGTAACACTCAGCAATAATTGTCTTCATATATTGTAGCAATACTTACTATTAAAAATGACACCTAAATCCTTGACTTCGCTTAAGCGATTGAGAGGCGTACCACCATACTATAACCAAATATTCAAAGTAATGCCATAGTTACTTTGACACTAAAAATGTTTATCTAATATTTCATTGCAACAATGAATCAATTTCAATGTTCCGCTTTTTATACCTTTGATACTGAATAGTATCTGATCTTGAAATGACTGAAGATCAAGGCCATCTTCATTGGCAAGTATGCACTTAAACTCGAAAATTGTTTGGGATTAAAAAGTAGATGTTTGTGGTTAAAAATTAATTTGATTATCAAATGACATTGATAGTCGTCAAGGTCATAAACGTACTTGGACATAATGCCTCTTGCCCTGTCAGAAATCAGGATTTTTGTACTATAAAGAAACTGTCTAGAGCTAGATGACCTTGAAGGCCATATCTTTTCAAAACTTTATTACACAACATTTTCTTTATAAAACGCATTTTTCGAGACATTTTGTCCTCTCCCTACTTTCTTTATACCCTTAAATATCTATGAATGTCATGATCAAGGTCATAAGGCTTCCCCACATACTACGTAGTAAAATATATCGGTCTTCTCATTTTCGGTATCAAATGTAGGGGTCTCACTTAAGAAAACTGTCTTGACCTTCAGACTTTCTGTAAGGTCGGAGCCAAGGTCACGTTCAAGATTACCAATTATTAAATTTTTTCAAACCTTACTACTCTGTTCTATAACAGTTTTCTCTAGGAAACATATTTTTAAAGATATTTTTAATTATTCCTACCTTTTGGACACTGTATATACTGTGCCGGAAACACCGTTTTACCGTTTGTATCTACACTAATTTATGAGTGTTGTAGGAGAACTGTCTTGACCCTCAAATGACGTTGAAGGTCACGATAAGGGAATCTTTTCAAAATTTACAACCTCATAACACATTTTTCTTTATAAAACGAATTTTTCCAGACATTTTGTCCTTTCCCTACTTTCTTTACGCCCTTGAATATCCATGACTTAGATAGTCGAACCTCAACGTAAAATGTCACGCTTTTCACATTTCCGGTATCCAAAGTACGAATTTCACTGAGCAGAACCATATTAACCTTCAAATGACCTTGGTGACAATAGTCAAGATCACGTTCAAGGTCACCACTGGATGGACCTTTTCAAACCTTACAACTTCGTTCTACAACATTTTTCTCTAGGTAAACGTATTTTTCTGGATATTTTGACCTATTCATACCTTTCGCACTCTGCATACTCTAACGTAAAAATCGTTTTACTGTTGAAAATCTTATTTATTGTACACTAATTTATAAAATTTGTACTAATCTATGACAATTTATAACCATGTTGACTGGACTATTACCCGATCCTAACACCGCGTGCCTTGACTGTCTGCACTGTGACTGTAGACTCTATCATGACCAACTGCTTCTGCCATCTGATCGGATATTTATCGCCGTATCGACGCCTCGAAAAATGTTCCAGCGTTTTCCAGGTCAAGTAGTCTAGATAGCAGCGGGTGCCTGCAGATGGATATTGATTATTCCTAAACCTCCGCCTAACCCTTTTCAGACATCGCCATATAATTTGTCGTCTAAACATCGACCCTGCAAGGCGACTTCTTGCCCCAGCAATGCGAAGGCTTTGCAATATTTTCGCGGATTTAAATCGCCTGTAATCATGACCAACCGCAGTAAGCAACGTTTCGTGCTCATGAGCAACCCATCAGTACAGTAAAGGTCTTAGGTCTAGTCGGGGAGGCAGACGAAACGGATAACAA